TCGTTGCTCCCGAACAAATGTCGGTGCACCGTGCGTCATCGTCGTTGGCGTGAAAAGTCCTGCGGCCTCCAAGACCTCAAGATGCCATGGACCTCTTCCTCAAATGCGCCGTTCCTTCATCCTCGCCCCCCCACCACCGCCGCCGTGCCCAACTCCCCCCATACACCGCCCACTTTGGTTCGGCCCACCCCTCCGTTAACATTAACTGGGAGCACCGGGTGAACACTAGCAGGTAGATGCTTCAGGAATCACATCATCCGTTACGAGCGCTTCTCACAGCAAGAAATATAGTGCTTAAGACCAACTGGTCAACTCGGTTGAGACGCGTAGTAAAGTACGGCCATGAACAAATTCCACCCGCCCTTCTCTGCAAGGTGGGGGTGGGGACTCGACTCGACGAACGCGTTGTGATCGCCATCCTGGATGGAGGGCGGCAGCAACACCAACAGAACTGTTGGAGAACCCTCCGGGGCGCCAGCCAGATTCCATGCAAACCCTCTGCTGAATCACATTGATTTGGTAAGGTCAATCGGGAGGTGCTTGTGCTAGGTGCCAGGAAGACCGAGTACATGTACATTCTGTAATTCAGCCACAATCTCCAACAGTTTGCCTCCAGTCGCGTGCGAGGGTGTGTAAACCAAGGGAGGCAACGAAAGGGCCATCGCGGCTGGCACAAAGTCTCGGGGTTTCATGGTTGTCTTATTGGGCCGCCCATGGTGCATGGGTGACCAACTAACTCGTTTGCTACGTGAAGCAGAGGCGTCGCCCAGAGGAGGAGGAGGAAGAGGAGGAGGAGGAAGAAACAGATCGAACCCTCCGCCTCCCGGTAACGAAGTCGACCGCCAAGCGTAAGCATTTAACGTATTCTGGCTTCGCAGCATGAATCCCAAAAAGTCTGGACTTTTTCTCCAGGGCCAAATTTGTCCCGAGCCGTTCTTGGACGGCCTGTGGGCCCAGCCGGGGCCCCCCACGAAGGTCGAAACATGCCCCAAACCTCCCCATCTAGACTTGTTCATGACGTGAGGATGTTATGGAAACGGCGAAGAAAAAATGGTTCGAGCAGGGAGAGGAGGATCGAGCCCTCCTCCCCCCTCGAACCGGCGACCGCGACAACACCAAAACGACGACGACGACGACGACGACGACGACGACAAGAACGACGACGGACTGCGAGGGCTCGGAGGTGTACACAAAGTCGCCTGGTTGGCCGTCGACCAAGGAGCTCGTAGACGCCCCAGCTGCCCAACGTGTGAGGAGAAAGGGGGGGGGAATCGGCGGGCGGTGCTGCCAAGGGGAAAGGGGTGGGGATTTATCAATGGATGCCTAAATGTGTCATATCTGGAATGGTTTAGGGGGTTGGGCACTTCCGAACAGAGAGTTTCGCCCATGTGGCAGGAATCGCTACTCCGCCGAAGTCGCCCATGTCACGCGGCACTCACTTTTGACATTGAAGAGGGCGAATGGTCATTAACTGCCTCAGGGTGCGTGGCTGAAGTGGGGCTCCACGGTGCGGATTTGGTTTGGGTGGTTGTTTGAGTTGTTGATGTGGTTGTTGCTGTTGCTGTTGTTGTTGCTGATGTTGTTCTTGCTTCATGGTCATCATTTCTGGAGAGTTATGTTTGTTGGTGAATCCCCCCTGCCTGGTAACCCTTGCATTCTTCAGTGAAAATGCTTATCTCGGGGCTCGCACCGTGTTTCTTACCAGGGAAAACGAAGGGTCACAAAACTGCGTTGCTGGGCCCCGAACTACAGCAACAACGGCCCCCGCCTGATACACCCTCACAGTGTATTCCGCAATTGCGCTCGCGCGCGGGACCTCATCACAATGAATACAAGCGTCGCGCTCTCGCATGGGACTTTCCTACGATTTCTTCAAACGCCGAGCCCTCGACACTAAGGAGTCATGCTCTCGCTGTGGATTTCCCCACGGTTTATCTGGGAATCGCGCTATCGCTCGAGACTCCATCGCGATTCACGCAGGGTGCACGCTTTAGCAACCCGCCTGCCGTTTGCACCTTCCTTCCATCCGTCCTCTCCTCTGCCTTAGGCCGTAAGGGCTGCACGGAATGCACTTTGTGGGTAAGAAAGATACGCCCTTCAGGGGATACGATTTAAGACGAAGAGGGCAAGTCTCGAGGGTTTGCGCATACGTGTTGAATTGCACGCGAGCAGATGAGAACGAATAATATTACAATGATTGTTGTTGTTGCTGTTGCTGCTGTTGATGCTGTTGTTGCTGGTTGCAGCGTGAAAGCTAATGCTTGGTGTGTTGTGTTATGTATTGTTTTGTTCGTTGTTTACTGTTGATTGCCTGTTGCTCAAGAGCCGTTGTTCTTTATTTGTTGTTTATTATTTGCGGCTCGTTGTTTGTGACTGTTGTCGTCGTGCTCCCCCGCGACCCGGCCCGCGACCCACCCGCAACCCGCCGCGACTCACCCGCGACCCATCCGGCGTCTCACCCCGCGACCCAACCAGCGACCCGCCCGCGACCCACTCACATTGCTTTAGTGAAAAAACTGCGCATGCGGTGGGCTCTTTGCATAGTTTATGAAACATCGGCGCCTGCAGCGAGCTTCTTCACAGGCTCGCAAGCTGCAAACGACCCCGCCGCCTCCTTCACTCTTATCCGCTACTGTGGGGTGATACGTACGCCAGATTCGGCCATCCACTGACAACCCCCACCATCCCCTTAGCACCGCCCTGCGGTGAACCATGTACGCACCGAATTGCACTGCCGAGCTCATTGGCTCATTGGCCGACACAACGACGTGGTGCACGCATCGAACATCCCCAGCAGACGTCGAAGGACGACGACGACGTTGCAACGACAACAACGTCGACGACGTCGACGGGCGGCGAACGAGCGACAACGACAAAGCGCCGCCAGATTTGGCCATCCACTGACAACCCCCACCATCCCCTTAGCACCGCCCTGCGGTGATCCATGTACGCACCGAATTGCACTGCCGAGCTCATTGGTTCATTGGCCGACACACCGACGTGGTGCACGCATCGAACATCCCCAGCAGACGTCGAAGGACGACGACGACGTTGCAACGACAACAACGTCGACGACGTCGACGGGCGGCGAACGAGCGACAACGACAAAGCGCCGCCAGATTCTGCCATCCACCGACAACCCCCACCATCCCCTTAGCACCGCCCTGCGGTGAACCATGTACGCACCGAATTGCACTGCCGAGCTCATTGGTTCATTGGCCGACACAACGACGTGGTGCACGCATCGAACATCCCCAGCAGACGTCGAAGGACGACGACGACGTCAACGACAACAACGTCGACGACGTCGACGGGCGGCGAACGAGCGACAACGACAAAGCGCCGCCAGATTTGGCCATCCACTGACAACCCCCACCATCCCCTTAGCACCGCCCTGCGGTGAACCATGTACGCACCGAATTGCACTGCCGAGCTCATTGGTTCATTGGCCGACACAACGACGTGGTGCACGCATCGGATATCCCCAGCAGACGTCGAAGGACGACGACGACGTCAACGACAACAACGTCGACGACGTCGACGGGCGGCGAACGAGCGACAACGACAAAGCGCCGCCAGATTCGGCCATCCACTGACAACCCCCCCACCATCCCCTTAGCACCGCCCTGCGGTGAACCATGTACGCACCGAATTGCACTGCCGAGCTCATTGGTTCATTGGCCGACACAACGACGTGGTGCACGCATCGATATCCCCAGCAGACGTCGAAGGACGACGACGACGTTGCAACGACAACAACGTCGACGACGTCGACGGGCGGCGAACGAGCGACAACGACAAAGCAACCACAAAGCGCCGCCAGATTCGGCCATCCACTGGCAAACCCCCACCATCCCCTTAGCATCGCCCTGCGGTGAACCATGTACGCACCGAATTGCACTGCCGAGCTCATTGGTTCATTGGCCGACACAACGACGTGGTGCACGCATCAACATCCCCAGCAGACGTCGAAGCACGACGACGACGTTGCAACGACAACAACGTCGACGACGTCGACGGGCGGCGAACGAGCGACAACAACAAAGCAACGACAAAGCGCCGCCAGATTCGGCCATCCACTGACAAACCCCCACCATCCCCTTAGCACCGCCCTGCGGTGAACCATGTACGCACCGAATTGCACTGCCGAGCTCATTGGTTCATTGGCCGACACACCGACGTGGTGCACGCATCGGATATCCCCAGCAGACGTCGAAGGACGACGACGACGTTGCAACGACAACAACGTCGACGACGTCGACGGGCGGCGAACGAGCGACAACGACAAAGCGCCGCCAGATTCGGCCATCCACTGACAACCCCCACCATCCCCTTAGCACCACCCTGCGGTGATCCATGTACGCACCGAATTGCACTGCCGAGCTCATTGGTTCATTGGCCGACACAACGACGTGGTGCACGCATCGAACATCCCCAGCAGACGTCGAAGGACGACGACGACGTTGCAACGACAACAACGTCGACGACGTCGACGGGCGGCGAACGAGCGACAACGACAAAGCGCCGCCAGATTCGGCCATCCACTGACAACCCCCACCATCCCCTTAGCACCGCCCTGCGGTGAACCATGTACGCACCGAATTGCACTGCCGAGCTCAGTGGTTCATTGGCCGACACAACGACGTGGTGCACGCATCGAACATCCCCAGCAGACGTCGAAGGGCGACGACGACGTTGCAACGACAACAACGTCGACGACGTCGACGGGCGGCGAACGAGCGACAACGACAAAGCGCCGCCAGATTCGGCCATCCACTGACAACCCTCACCATCCCCTTAGCACCGCCCTGCGGTGAACCATGTACGCACCGAATTGCACTGCCGAGCTCATTGGTTCATTGGCCGACACAACGAGGTGGTGTACGCATCGGACATCCCCAGCAGACGTCGAAGCACGACGACGACGTCAACGACAACAACGCTGACGACGACATCAACGACAACAACGCAGACGACGAAGCACGACGACGACGCCCCGCCTGATCGGCCGCACGGCGCGGCGAGCCGCACAGGGCGTCGATGCGCTGCAGCAAGGACTCCAACGGCGTCGCGCACGCGTCGCCCGCGAGGCCCGGGTGCCTGCGAGACGCCGCCGTCGCAGGGCCAGCCAGCATCGCATCGGGAGGCCAGATCGGGATCGGATCGAGTCGGGGAATCTCGAGCCTCCGGGAGGCCACGATCGCATCGGATCGGGGGATCGGATCGGACCAGGCTGCCGGACAGGATCGGATCGCGAGAGCGGAGCGGGAACTCGCAAGGGTTCGGATCGCATCGGGAACACGGGATTGCATCGGGGAACACCGGACTCGGGAGAACTCCGGAGATCGGATCGGATCGGGAAGCCGGCGAAATCGGGGCGCCACGGCGGCGCCCCTGAGCAGCCGGGGAGAGAGCCCGCGGGGCCGCCACGGCGGGAGGGGCGGCTGTGCACAGGGCACCGCCGGGCAGCAGAGCAGCCCCGAGGCGGGGGCGGATCGGGGCGGGGCAGCCGTGACTGCAGCGGCCGTGTGATTCCGAGCATTATGTCGACAACAACTGCAATCTCGTGATTGTGTTTCCGGGAATGATGGGCCTCTTGTCCACCACCACCGTCTGATGGAGGGGGGAGGGGTTCCTCCTCCCCCTCTTCTGCCTCCTCCCCCTCCCCCTCATCCTCCACCTCCTTACCCCTCCAACTTATGGTGGTGGTGGCGGAAAACGGGCCCATGAGGGAAGGGTCGCTACTCGGGGGGGCTGAACAGCTGGTGCCGCAGGCTGCACGTGGGAGGCGACCCTGGGCAAGAGCGCCTTTGGTGCGCGACCCAACGGGGGACGCGGGGCGGCCAAACCTGGGCGCGCAAGCCGATCGGCGATCGGGGGGACCCGTTCAGCCCGCACCAGAGGCCACTCCGGCGAGAGGTCACTTTTACGCATAGTCGAACAGTCGCCCTCGCAGTCAGAGTGATCGCAGGGCCTCTCGCGTCTGGCTTGCTGGCCAGCCTGCAGGCTGCCGCCTCCGCACCCCGCAATGCCGCTTCCCCGCCTCCTCCTCCTCCTCCTTTCCCGGCCGTGCCTTCCCGTCCTCCTGCTGCCACCCACCTCCCTCCGCACCCTGGCCCCCGTCTGCTTATTCCGACCGACCGGCCGACGGTGCCCCCCCGTGCCCCTCCTCCTTCCCCCAGGGCCCCCCCCCCCCTGCTGGTTCCGGCCGACCGACTGTGCGCCCCTCTACTCAACCGGTGGCCCCCTTCCCCCGTGCCCCCCCCCCCCCCTCTGCTTATTCCGGCCGGCCGACGGTGCCCCCCCTTGCCCGACCATCGCGGCCCGTGCCCCCCCCATTTCCCCAATTGCCCCCCCCCACCCCCCCCTCTGCTTATTCCGACCGACCGGCCGTGCTCCCCCATGCCCGACCGTGGCCCCCCCTCCCTCCCTCATGCCCCTCGTGGCCCCCGCTCTGCTTATTCCGACCGAGCGACCGTGGTGTCAAATTACACCACCATGGTTCCGACGAGCGCACAGTGAAGGAACAAAAATCGTCACACCAAGGCGTCCAAGAGCGAACAATTTATACATATATATATATATATACTTATCCATGGTATCTTAGTTGTGCTTCTTGGGGCCCTCTCGAACGGATTCGTGAAGGCCTCTCGGGGCGTCTTAGAAGCATCTTTGTCCGTCTTTGACCGATCGTTCGACGACTCGGGGCCATATATTTTTCCACCAATCTGGGGGTCCCTGGGGGCCCCCTTGGCCCTTTTTCGGGCCCTCGTGGCGCCCCAAATGCCCACGCGACACACCCCAGGCCCGCGCAAGAACGCCTGGGAAATCAAGGCCCGGGCCCTTACAAAACCTTGCACCCCTCCTTGCCTCTCCGGGCTGCCTGCGCCTTGGAGCACCCCACAACGCGCTGAAGACAGCGGATCTTGCCCCCCTCTCTTGGGACCAAGCGTTTCGCTTCATACAAGGGGCCTGCATTAGAAACCACGCCGTTGACGCCTCGCAAACCTCGTCCGTCATTTTGAGATCACCTTCGTATCGCACCTTGCGCTGCGTCCACGCAGCCATGCTGCTATTCGCCACTCCCCCGTTCTGGTCACTCGCCAGAGTGTCGCAGCACTCGCACGCTTCCCCGACACTGCCACAAATTGGCACCATCTCCATCTCCCATTGCCCCGCATACGTAATTGAATGATCATTGGCACGCGTGCCTCTTGTTCACACCGATTCTGCACTACATGTGAACACATGAAAAAATCAGACACGAGGTGGGCATGTGGAGGAAACATATTGGGCCTGACGCGCTACACTCAGGAATGAAGCACATAGGTCCCGACCGAATCAAGCGACCTCGCGAGCATGAAACACTGAAGCTCCTCATGGGCTCAAGCGGCATGTCGTACTTGATCTCATCCTGCGTAGATGTCGTATTGAAGACTGCAACGCGAACGTGCACAATGAGACAGCGACCGCTCACGCATGCCTATGAAACCACATTTGTGTTCGCACCGCAACCTGCAACCCAATGGTGAGCGCATCACAATCCGCCACCGTGATTCTGGGTACGGAGTTGGCGTGTCCTCACTCCTGAAGAATCTCTTAGGTGCCCGGAGCCCAAACATGTCAAATCGTCTGGGGCTTCCCATTTGCCCCCCGGGGTGTGCCGCGACCTAAGCCAAAGAGCGCCCTGAGACGGGCCAGGAGAGCCCCAAGAAGCCCTCAAGACGATCCAAGAGGGCCTCGAGTTGCCGAACGATCGCTCCAGTACGCTCACGATGGCCCCCAGACGGCCCAAGAGGCCTCCAAGATCCCCAAGGAGGCCTCCACGAGACCTTCTATGACTGCCCCAAGAGGCCCACAGAAGGATTTTGGAGTTCTCGCCTTTTCGGCTTCCCGAGGCATTCAAGAGGGCCCCAAGACGGCCCAAGAGAACCCAAAGCAGCCCAAGAGGCGCTCAAAACGGCTCAAGAGGGTCCCAAGACGGCCCCCCAAGAGGGAGCACAACACGAAAATCCTAGCCTCCCGCCCCAAGAGGCCCCCAGGAAGCCCCATGAGGCCCCCAGGAGGCCCCCAAGAGGCGTCCAACCTGTTTCCAAAAGGCATCCGAGACGCCTCCCACAAGATCCCAACCAACATCCAGTAGGCTCCATCCCCACAACCCAGGCACGGTGCCAGGATGAGTCGACGGTCATTAGGTACACCTGTGAACGAGATGCATCTTCAGAGTGCACAGAGACCTTGGGGCACGTGCGTGCGCTACCCTCTCCGCGTGAAACTGTTGAGAGACTGCCAGATGTCTCTCCCGCACAGTCGGTTATCCTCAGAAGTAGTTAGCGCCAAAGAAGGCCGACACAGGCTGCTTGCTATCGGTGGAACTGAACGCGGAAGCGCGGAGATTTGGCTTCAAATGTCCTGAGGCTCATAAGCACAAGCAACACGGCAACCGCTGACTGCTGGCATGATCTGCGGCTGACGTTTCGCTTCCACTGCTCGCGAACGGTCAAGCTTTCCTTCTGGGGTGGACAGAAAGCTCTTCAAAATAATAACCTTTGAATGAAAACGGCCCGCGCATGATACCCCTGAAACACATCCCCTTGAGGATCGAGAACAACACAAGGGCAATTCGCACATCGACCTAACAAGGCAAGAGCTCCATCAACCTCCGCCAGTCACCCCCCTCCCCCCTCTGGACTCGTGGGCGCGCATGCATGGATTAGCGATCCATGGATTTGGAGCGCGGTCACCAAATCCATGGATCGAGGGAGGTGCCCGCCCCAAATGCGGCCGGTGCCGCCTCGTTCGGCGGCGGGCATCCGCGATCTCCCATGGAGACGGGACCCATCGCTGATCCACGCCCCCCTTGATCCATGTCTGCGATCGCCTGGTGGACCTCTTCGATGCGTCGCCGCCAAGGAGACTCTCGAGCCTCCCCCCCCCCCTCCTCCCATCTCCCCCCCCCTCACCCCTCCCCCTCTCGACCCTCCCCCCCTCCCTCCCCCCCTCCCTCCCTCCCGAGCTGACGTTTTTGAGGGCCCAGCGGCGCCGTGAGCCCGACGAATTGCATCTGCTCGGGCCTCGGGGCCGTCAGAGAAACACTCGGGATGGAGAACACTGGCGCCAGGAAATTGGGTCGACATGCCCAGGAGTAGAAAAGGGAGAAAAAATGCATGCCCAGGAGCAGAAAAGGAGTAGAGAAGGAGTAGACAAGGAAACAACGGAGTAAAAAGGAGTAGACATGCCCAGGAGTAGAAAAACACCGTCGACATGCCCAAAAGCAGAAAATAGTAAAACGGCATAAAGCCATAAACATAAACCTTTGGCGCTCCGCACGGATCTCTTGGATCTGCGCTGGGACCCCCTCCCTGGCGCCTCCGGCGCCGCCCCTGGCGCGCTCATCGCGCCAGTGAGGGGGGTCCAGCGCAGATCCGAGAAATCCGCGCGGAGCGCCAAAAGTCTATGTTTATGGCGCTTCTCTTCTTCGAAAAAGAGCCGCGCGTCGACACACACCAGAGCGTCGCACTCACCAGAGAGGCAAACCTCTCTTTTGCCTCTCTCTCTCTGTCTCTTCCCGGTGATCGATGGGTTGCTGCTGCGACGCTGACTTCCTCGAGAGGAAGGCCCACCCGCGAGCAGTTTTGTCCCAGATGCATCCGCCACGCACGTGCCTCCCCCATTGTCCACTGTTCCTCGGGCCGGCGTGGCCCGCCGGCTGCCTGACCGCGTTGGCGTCAACCTTCGCCGCTGAAAAAAAAGTCCCCCCGCACGCGCACGTCCCAAGCTGCTCGCAAACGAGCTGTGATAAGAGGGGGTCCTGGCAGGGCCCGCACTCGCAGCAAACCTTCCGCGACGCTGGAAAGTCTGGAGGTAGGAAAGGGGTGTGGCAGAAAGAGGCAAGGTGCCAATCGTGAAAATGGCGATGCTGCCTGCGATGCACCACGTCGCCAGAGTCCCCTTTACATGAAATTAGCACCACACCACTTTATACCATTAGGGGGCCACATGCGAATCCTACCCCTACCCCCCAACGATTTCTGAGGGAGAGGGTGGGGTTCACTTCGTTCGGGAGCTCCCAAGCCAAGTGAGTCCCACCCTCACCCTCCGAAATCGTGGGGGGCAGGGGTAGGGTTCGCACCTGGCCCCCTACCTCCAGAGAAGGGGCAAGCGCGACCGCCATCTGAAGGACCACCGGGATCCCGCGTGTCCTGCCAGCCCGCCAGCGGCTTGCCGTACAGCCTGGCGGGGGGGAGGGGCGGGCGGCAAGGGGGAGGCCCCAGGGCGCAAGTCATGCGCGGCCGAGCGGCCGAATAACGGGTGCCCGCAGGGAGGTCCAGGCTGTGACCTCGGCGGCCTTCTTCCTCCTCCTCCTCCTCCTCCTCCTTCCTCTGCCGAGGGATGGGGCAGACTCGAAGGCCGACAGATTATACCAACACGTATTTTTCCTCGGAGGTCCGCGCGGGCTTCGTTTTGGTCGGCGCCAGACGCCGCCTGGGGGCGGATCCGGCGCTGCCCCGAAGCAGCGCGATCTGCGCGCAGGGGGAGAGGGATGGTCCGGCGCTGGCCAGAGAGGTGCGCGCGGACCTCCGAGCGTCTGTGTACAGTCGGACCCGGACCAGAAGAACATCCTTCGATGGAGAAAAAAGCACGCCATAAACATAAACTTGTGGCACTCCGCGCGGATGTCTTGGATCCGCGCGTGGGCCCCCGCGGCGGCGCCTCCGCGCGCCAGGGAAGGGGGGTCCGGCGCGGATCCAAGAAATCCGCGTGGAGCGCCAAAAGAATGGCGTTTTTGCCCCTTCTGATCAAGAAAATGAAGCCCTCCGACGGCCAAAACACAACGAACATCCGAGGGTCCCCCCCCCGGCTGCACAAGAACCTCCAACAGAGGCGAGAGGAGGAGCGCGGGACTTGCCAGAGGCGCAAACCCGAGGCGCTGTGTGACGAGGGCAGGGCGAGGACAAATTGGCTGGGATAGAGAGAAGCTGGGAACTTCGAAGAACGGGCAAACCTGGCGGGGGAGGGGAGGAGAATGGGGAGGAATGGGAGGAGGAGGAGGAGGAGGAGGAGGAGGAGGAGGAGGACTTTCCCCCCAGGACGACGTCCCTTTCCGCTCCTGCGGGCCTGCTGGCGGAGGGCGCGGGCCTCCTGTCAGGTCTCGTCGCCGTCCTCCAGAACGGTCCCGTAGTACTCCGTCCGCCCATGATCGTAGGCTTGGAGCTGCTTCGTAGGGCCACTTGCCCAGGCGATCGACCGTGGGGCCGTCTCGCGGGGCGCAGGTCTTCCCAGCAGGTGCCGTGGGGCTGTGCTGCTGGGGTCGGTTGTGGGTGTCTGGTCAGCTGATGCCGAGTCCTGCTCTTCGTGAGTCGTTGCGAGATTGTCAGTGCTGGTTGTCGTCGGCCTTCTCGTGCGGGTTCTCAGACGTAGCTGGCGTCGGAGCCCTCGCACTTCTTGGTGTTGCTGGAGTCCTGGCTGTGTCGTTTGGCGGCTGCTCGTTGGCGTGCTTCCTTCTCGCCCGCACCACGTAGTCTGCTCGCGACCTGGGTGGTGGTGGTGCACACTGTTGTTCGAGCTTCTCCGATATGTAGTGTCATGCCGCGCTTCCGCATTTGTAGCACTAGTAGCCTTGGTCACGCTTGTGCCATTCCATCTGGTGGGAGTGGTGGGCGCAGCGTCCTTTGAGTGTCAGGGGTGGCTTCTTCGTGCTGCGTCGTCGTATGGTTGACTGTGCGCAGGTTCTGCATCGCCAGCCTGTCGGAGTCGGTTGAACTTGATGCTGGCTCTGAGCTGCAAGTTCGTCGAGGGTGGGTGCTGGTGGTCTTCGTAGTTTGGCTTCTTTCCTTAGCTGTGCTCGTTCTTCCCAGCTCATTGGTGGTCGTCGTTCCATGCAGTCTAGGGTGGCTTGTGTGATGCGCTGTCTGACTAGGTTGCCAACTGCTCGTGCCCACTCGTAGCACCCGAGCTGTGCTGCTGGTAGTGCATGCTCCTCTGCTGCTGCGTCTGCTTGCTCGTCTGCTGCGCGGTTGCCGTGCCATGCCCATTCTGGGATGTCCCTTCGTCGAGCGTTTTCCCAGTCGAGGTGGCTTTGCATATGTCGTACCGTGATGCAGTCGTCGCCTCCTCCCCGTTGGTCGATGGCGTCCTTGACCATCTTCCAGATGTCGCCGTTGCCGGAGTGGTACTTCTTGGTTATGTGCCGCTTGCGTCTCCAGCTCTTAAGCAATACCTCTGAATATGTCCAGTAGATGATGGGACCCCGCGAATTCCGTAAAACGCTGAGTAATGCCTGAATCTCTGCTCGGTTGTTCGTCTGCCTTGGTCCTGGTAGTGGTCCTCGCATAGTAGCTCGAATTGTTGTGCCATTCATGCATGCCCATCCCCATCCGCACCTTCGGTACCGTCGGTCTCCTGACATGGCCCCTCCGCTGCCGTCACCGCAGACATGTAGTGGTACATCGTCTGCGATCAATTGGCCGTGCTGGATGTCGCCGTCGCAAGTGTGGGATGGTTCCGTTGTGCATGGTGGAGGGCAGGTCATGGGTCGTGGCGTGATGCCTCTGAGCCAGAAGGCTGCGTTCGTCTCGATGCCTTCTTTTGCCCGTTCTTTGAGGTGTTCGGTCCGTTCGTAGATGATGTGCTGTCGTCTCTGCGGGCAGTCTCCCCAGATGCGGTGGTAGTCGACAAGAGGAGAAGGGAGGAGGAAGAGGATAATGAGGAGGAGGAGGAGGAGAAGGAGGAGGAGGAGGAGGAGGAGGAGGAGGGGGAGAAGGAGGAGGAGGAGGGGGGGAGGAGGAGGAGGGGGAGGAGAAGGAGGAGAAGGAGGAGGAGAAGGAGGAGGAGGAGGAGGAGGAGCAGGAGCAGGAGAAGGAGGAGGAGGAGGAGGAGGAGGAGGAGGGGGGAGGGGAGGGGCGGCGGGGGGGAGGCGGGGGAGGAGGAGGAGGAGGAGGAGAGGAGGAGGAGGAGAGGAGGAGGAGGAGGAGGAGAGGAGGAGGAGGAGGAGGAGGAGGAGGGGTAATTAGGCGGGGTAGGAGAGGAGGAGGGGAAGGATGATAGGAGATAGCTGGCGACACCCAAACCGAACGCCGACCGACCGAGACGGACGCGAGCGCGGGGGCGACCGAGGCCCACGGACCGATATGGAGGGCCGCAGCGGCGCAGCAGCCGACCAGGCTGAAGCGATCGAGCGCAGCCGACCGTGGAGCAGCCGAGCCGGCCGAGCTCGGACACCAACAGCAGAGAAGAAGAAGAAGAAGCAGCGGCAGAAACGTAAACTGTTGGCGCTGGCGCGCTCTCTTCTCCGACAGCACAGCCCGCGAGGGGCTGGGAGCACGCGCCTCCTCCTCCTCCTCCTCCTCCTCCTCCTCCGCTCCTCCTCCTCCTCCTCCTCCTCCTCCTCCTCCTCCTCCTCCTCCTCCTCCTCCTGTCTGCACTGCGCCGTGACCTCGGGCGCGCTCGCCGCCCGGGCAGCACCCCGAGGCGGCCCGGAGCGGCCATCTCGCGGGCCCCCCGGGGGCCTGGGTCGAGGGCTGCGGCCCGCAGGCTGGAGGGGAAGGGCCGAGAGTGCTGCCCGCGCCGCCTCGTGCCTACACTCGGACGCCCACTGCTCGGCCACCCGCCTGCCCAGCAGCATCCGAGGCGGCCAAGAAAGTGCGCCACGTGCTCGACCCTCGCACACCGCTTCCGAGCCCCCAGGAACCAGGGAGAGAGGGAGAGCGGGCGCAGCGGAGGGAGGGAGGGGCGGAGGGATACCCGGGGTGGACAAGCCAGGTGCACTCGCGCCATATCTGACATCCTACCCCTCCCACCAACCCCCTGCCAATTCGCTGAGATGTTGTTCCACCCCGTGTGTGGACCTGGACCCCCCCACCAGAACTCATTGCGTCATGCACCATCACGATATGCGAGATGCGTGCATATTGGGAGGAGTGGGGGGAGGAGGAGGAGGAGGAGGAGGAGGAGGAGGAGGAGGAGGAGGAGGAGGAGGAGGAGGAGGAGGAGGAGGAGGAGGAGGAGGAGGAGGAGGAGGAGGAGGAGGAGAGGAGGAGGAGGAGGAGGGAGGAGGAGGAGGAGGAGGAGGAGGAGGAGGAGAAGGAGGAGGAGGAGGAGGAGGCGGAGGAGGAGGAGGAGGAGGATGGGGAGGGCGAAGGAGGAGGCGGAGCAGGAGAAGGAGTAGGAAGAGGAGGAGGAGGAGGAGGAGGAGCAGGAGGGGAAGGTGTCGGATGAGCATGAGCTCCTCTCCACCAAGTGAATGACTCCTGACGGCGGTGGGGGACGCCAGCATGCTGGAAGAAACTAGTGGCCTGCACAGCTGGTCCAACAGGGGACCGAGCACAATGAAAGAGAGCAGGAGCGGGAGGGAGAGAAGACGAGGAGGGGGAGCAGACGGAAAAGAGCGAGAGGACGGAAGAAAAGGAGAGGGATCCGATCGGATCGGGTCCGCGAGAGGGCTCCACAGGGGGCCGCTGCCGGGGACGTGAAGTGGTATTCGAGCGACTGCATGCCACAAGCCAGCACAGGGCGGGCAAAAAACGGACCACGGGAGCAGCGAGGGAAGCCTGCTCTCACGATCAAGAACACGGATGGGGCCTCGTGAAGGCCCCGTGGCGTGAGGGCGAGGAGACCGCCGCCGCCGCCAATTTCGGCGCCCGGCCAGATGGCCCCCCCCCGAGCCTCTCGAGCGCGCCAGAAACGCGTCCTGGAGATTCTCACAGGGCGACGCGCGAGACAGATCCGGAATTATGGGCGGTGAATGCTGTCCCAGACCTCCCATCCCCAGATTTTTCCAGCGCAAGGCCCTCGATCTTGGTCCATCCGTTGGAGGTCTGGGGCAGCGAGCACGGTGACGGCTCGGCCGCACCGATGCCACCACGCCGGCGGCAAGGCTTTGCGCGCGACGCAGAAGGCTTAAAAATCACAACTTTGAAGAAATTTCGACGATAATCGATTCTCTGCAGGTTTTTTGTTATTTGCCTCCAGCTCTCCAGTGGTCACCACCGGCCTCTCCTGCCGCCCCGCTCACTCGTCGTCGTCGCTCTCGTCGACCTCGAGGATCTTGGTGCACGCCTGGCGGATGGAGGCGTTGAGCGATGCACTCGTCGTCCCCTTGCCGCCCGACCCGTGCGCGGCCAGGCGCTTCCCCAGCTCCTGCATGAGCTGCTCATCGTTCAGCTGGCCCGGGTCCGTGATCACCACCGTCTCGACCGGGCCCTTCGGGCCCAGCGCGGCCGAGGTCGAGGGGTCCGGCTCCTCGGGCTCCCACTTCTTCATGGCGTCGACAAACCACTGCAGCGACTGGCCCGTCTGGTTCCTCTTGGCGGCCCGCGACACACGGACAGGGGCGTCCCGCACCGCAGGGCCGTCCAGGTCGGGCAGCGTCGCGCTGCTGAGCCTTCGGCCTGGCACCCCGCCTGCGGGTGTCGGTTCCGGCTCGAGCTTCGGGGCGGCTGGAGGCTTTGGCTTCTGGGCCTGCCGGCGTTTCCACGCTTTAACCATGCTGAGCATCTGCAAGGTGTAGCCGCCCTTACTGATCATGTTCAGGGCCACAAAACCTACGGCATTCCACCTAGACTCCGTGATAATGCTCGCCCCCTCGTACGACAAGTACCACCAGACGGGGAAGCCCAACCAAGAGAGAGACGTGATCACCAGGAGCTTAGGGTAGCCTCTCGGCAGATCTTCATTCTTCGAGCCGCCGCTGCAATAGTACACAAGACCGAGCAGCGGGATCTGTACGAAAGAGAGGAAGCACAATATCACCGTGCTCGGCATCAGCCACCATCCCTTTGTGGTCAGACTGTCCAGATTACCTTCCAGGGCTTCGTCGTAGAAGGTCTCGAAATCGGTCTTCCACATCTCCCCCTCGAACTGAGACGCAATGTAGCCGGTGAGGAGCATGCCGAAAGTGATGAGGCACGAGAAGACCGCCAAAATCCTGTAGCACGGGACGTGCGGCGCGATGAGCAGCACGAGCTCGGCCTGCATCAGGGGGCAAGTCATGGCATACCCGAGGTAGCGGAAGCCGTTCACGTTGTTGATGTGGAACCAGCGGGTGATCGTGATGAGCGCAATGCCGGCCGAGAGTCGACAGATGGTCGCGTTGAGCCTCCGGCAATAGCGGAAGCGTTGGCCGAGCTCCATCTCGTGCATGTGAGGCCACCTGCGCAAGACCCTCCAGGTGTCCTCCGCCCACTCGGTCAGGCTGCTCCATAGCATCCTACAAATCGCTCTCGCAGGCGTCTTCACCTGCTGCTTCGTGGAGATGAGGATGGACAGATATGAGAAGAAAAGAAACAGCCCGAAGTTCGCCGCGCTCTCTAGGGCGATGGACGGGTACAATGGGGCACATATCCGCATGAGCTCCGCAGTAGTGGCCATGGTCACAGAAAGGCGCTGGTCACCTGGGTGCTTGGGAAGGATACGGGAAGAGCGGAGGGACGGATTGTAGATGGCCTTGACCCAAAGTGGCTTGAGCCAAAATGGCTACCGATGTCGGATGAGCATGAGGATGAGCAGGAGGACGAGAAGGACGAAGAAGCAGGATGACGAGGAGGAACAGCAGGGGTGGGAGAAGCGGTGGGAGCAGGATGACCGCGGGAAGCCAGTGGAGGGGAAGAGGCGGGGCGACAACACTGAGGGAATACTCTGATCCATAGAGTGGAAGCCAGTCTACAAGAAACCTTTCACAAGAAATCCAACCCTGAACCCCAGGACGCCCATTTATGTTTGATGTGGCAACGTCCCATGGCAGAACCATCGAAACCCACGAAACCCTGAAGACAAGCAGGGCGCTTCTTGGCATGGACTTCAACTGTAAAAGTAGCCCGCGCTGGGTAGAGAGAGCACTTCTACACGACAGGAGCAACGCGCCGATCCGAAAATGAATCCAACGCTGAGGCGGAAGCCCCATTCGAGACACCATAAGCATTCCGATTGAGCCCAAACCGCAGAAAGAGCTAATCATAAAACCTCGCGTTTCAAGAATACTCGAGAGAAGGGAATACCTTCCTGGCTGACGCAAGGGAGAAGAGAGAGTTGTATTCATACGTCAGAACTCTGAAAGCGATATGGGACAAGGTAGAGGAACGAGGGAAACAAACTCACAGAACAGAAGGCACATTACCACCACCTAGCGCTATCAAGCCCCTCCACGCCCAGCGCCAGACGGGCTGATTTTACCTCCGCCCCATGCCGACCCTCCGATAGCATTGCAAGGACTGGCAAGGGGAGTGGGAAGACGACGGAGAGGAGGAGCGCGAGAATGGGGAATGCAGGGGAGGGGGAGGGGAGGGGGATAGGGGGCCTCGTCGCCTCCAGCACCGCAGCACACTCCTCGGCAGACGCGAAGTGGCGGCACAGGTACACGAGGGGCTCACGGCAGGTCTCCCTCAGGATGCACTCCTAGGGGGATCGGGGCTTGCTAAGGGTGTCCCTGGCCCGAGGTGCCCCGAGCTCTTCGCTCAATGCTGGCGTCTCTGGGGCCCCCTGAGCCTCGTGAGGGGTGCTCTGGAGGCCGTGGGGGCCTCCTTGGAAATCCTGAGGGTTCCTTGGGCCAGGGGCACTTCTAGCAACACCCGAGAGGAAAATGAGCCCCACACGACTTGAGGGCACGGGCACACGCACCAGCTCTCGGAGAGCCTCGAGACTCAAGAGTCTCCCCCGTCTGGGCCAACTTCTTCTTCTTCTTCTCCTCGTCACCTTCCTCGCAATCCAACTCGGCCGCCTCCTCCTGCTGAACCTGAACCTCCTCCTCCTCCTCCTCCTCCTCCTCCTCCTCCTCCTCTTCTTTTTCCCCCTCCTCCTCCTCTTTCTTCCGTTTCCCCTCCTCCTCCTCCTCTTGCTCCTCGTCCTGCTCTTGTTTATATCCTGCCCAGATCTCCCTAGGTGCGTGTTTGAGAGCCTTGCCCCAAGGCCGGCAATTCACCCAGGGCAGCTCTTGGGCGGTCACTGGGCCCAGTGAATGCCTACAGAGGAGGCTGAACATTGTCAACACCTTCCGCCGTTCCATTGTGAGGACCCTCCGAAGGCAGCTCGCACGGATTTGGGCACTCGCGGGACACTCCCAGCAAGGCGCCGCTGCTGAAAGGCATGCCGAGGCTTGGAAGCCATCGGAGCCTACGAGAACGCTTGACAAAACTGGGCGGCTTCCTTTCCCTGATCGATCTCTATCTACAGACCCTCGCTTCTCTAGAAGAGGAGAGACGGCATAACAATAAAAAGTCGAAGGTCCAAGCGGATCTTTTAGATCGGGCGCGGGTGTGTGTGTGTGTGTGCCAAGGGCTCCAGCGCCGATCCAAGAAATTTGCGCAGGCCTCCGAACGTTCACCAGGCAGCTGGAAGCACAGGTGGCTGGATTCGCAGGTGGAGCATCCAGAGGCCACGCGATGGATACATATGCGGAAGCCTGGCCCGAAAGACCATCAGGTGGGCCGACCGCCCGAAAGCCATGCGGCCACATCCGTGTCCAGACCTCGCCCGGGCCAACCGCGTCACGTGTATCCGACTCGCTGGTGCGTTTTCGGTCCAGACGTTTTGCTCAGCGTGACGCTCTGCTGGCGGCAGGCGGGGTTGGCGGCGGCCCTCGGGATCGCGGCGGCGCGGCCGGGCTGGCCGCGCCAGCGCGGCGCTCAGGTGTAACCTAGCAGGGCCCAAGGAGGAGGTCCTCCTCCTCCTCCTCCTCCTCCTCCTCCTCCATCTTCTCCTCCTCCTCCTCCTCCTCCTCCTCCTCCTCCATCTTCTCCCTCTCCTCCCCCTCCGTAGGACGGGGGGCTGGGAGAGCTCGGCACGCTGCTGCTTGGGGTCTTGGACGAGCCTAGCCGTGCCGCGCCGAACCGCGGTGGACCAGAACCGGCGGCGAGCGACACACCAAGCTGGATAACCAACAGATCAAAACGGTATCGCCACTCCACGCACCTCTCGGCACGTGCGAGTACGACCAGAATGTCGACGAGAATCCAGACGTGGCGACGAGGGACCTGCGGGCCCAGCAGCAGTGTCGGTCGCACGGGGGATCGATCTTCGGGGACCTCGGCAGGCGGCGGATAGGTATGGATTCGGGCCCCCTGTGACCGACACAGCTCTATATATCCACCGCCCGCGGGGGTCACAAGACGTCGGTTTTTCAGATGGTGGATCATGGAGGAGCCCCCGCACCACATCCTGCGATATGACCTTTTCAATCCGCGGCCCCCAAACTCCCGAACCCTTCCCCCGGGGGATGGCTTTCCGCCCTGGATCCGTTTCTGGTGGCCCCGGGGCCCGATGATGGGTGTCAGAGGCCGATACAACGGAAACGCGCCGCGATTGAGCAGCACACGAGTCCGCCCGGTTGAGCAACACACGAATCAGCCACCGCGCCGTCGGCGCGCAGTGGGGTGCCCCAGGGCTCATGCAGCACGCAGCTCTGCGAGGCAAAGAGCTTGTGGTTCTGCAGGGTTCGTGAGGGCCCGAACCCCCCCGTTCCCCAGGCGGTCCTGGGCGCTGCCGGGGTGTGCCGCCCGAGCTCTTGGGACGCCGAGGGAGCTCCAAGACGGGCCAGGAGGACCCGGAGAGGCCCCTAGGACGGCCGAGGAGAGTCCCGAGTCGGCGAGCGATCGGCCCAGGACGCCCAAGGTGGCCGCCAGACGGCCGAACACATCTTCAGAGATCTTGGACACTTCTGACCGTATTCCTTGCTTCTTCCTCGGCTCCCAACACCGTCTCTGACGGAGGGTCTGAGGACTCCAATCGCCCAAACTTTGCGAGTTTGCAATTGGACGCAAACTTCTGGGCCCCACCTGGGGGATGCACGATGGAAGGGGCGACCGCCTTCGAAGAGGGGCCGCACCCGAATGGCATTCGGCCTCTGCACAAGAATAACCCCGCGCAGGCTGGCAAGATTCGGACAACGACGACAACGACGAGGGCACGAGCATAGAGGGGGGACGAACCACGAGGCGACGCGACAGGGGAGAGGCAAGAATCGCAGGGCCCTTGTCCTCTGCGCCCAGCGGCTGGGACGCCGAGCTCCC